TCCCAAGACTGTAGAAATTTCTGCATTTGAAGATTAAAGTTCCTGAAAGCTTGAGACCATGGATACAAACTGGTGATTTTCACGCACAACATGGACTTCGTTCTCCATCCTTGCTGAACCTTTATGAAGATCTAGCACCTGATTCCTCTGAAGCTTTCGCTAAAACGCTCTCACATAGAACTAACAGTGGATAGACATAAAGATCAGGGGCAAGATGAGATACAGGAAGAAATGTTAGTGCCAAAGGGATTCACCAACCCCCTCAGGTTACAGACGAGGAAAGTAAAGCCCCAGGAGGTAAAATGACTTGCTTACGAGGCCAACAGTTTTCTAGTAGTTTCATGATCTACCCTGCTTCCCATGTCATGTTGCAGCAAATAGAAAAAATACCTCAGATAAACACAGCCAGGGAATTGGGACTTATAAAAAGCTGTGTTTTTCCATTGGAGGTACACTTCTTTTCTTGTAAATAAATACCTAATATAAGATGGCCCTGGGATAGGGCAGAGAAAAACACAACGTGATGTGGCCGCTGTCATTATCCACATTAAAAATGACGCTGAGGAACAGCCTGGAGCCCTGGTGGTGCAGTGGTTAAGAGCTAGGCTGCTAACCGAAAGGTTGGCAGTTTGAATCCACCAGCTGCTCCTTGGAACCCTATGGGGCAGTTCTACCCTGTCCTACAGTGTCATTATGAGTTGGAATTGACTCAGTTGCAGTGGGTTTTTGTTTTTTTTTTGTTTTTTTGAGGAATGGCCTGTATGAGAAGCAGATGTGGTAGCTATGGCAAAAGTGTGAATTAGACTTTGCTACAAAGCCTGTGTATGGGCTCCCCCCACCCCATTTTTAAAAAACTGAGCTCTTTCTTCTCTTGTTTCCAGTTCCTTTTCTTCTTGTTGAGAATCAAATTTTGTGGAAATCAAGTGGGAAATGTGACCGGAACATGGTAAGCATTCATCACTGAAGAAGCCCAAATGCTGACAGGGGGACAGCTGAGCGGCTCCCTCCTGTGCTGACGAGACTAATTTTACCTCCTATCATTTGATCAATGATGCTAGGAATAAAAAATCGGATTAACTGTCCATCCGTGACCTTCCCACTTGGCCAGCTGTTCTGGGAAGTATTAAAGAAACACCATTATCATCATTCCCTCCTCACATCTGTATTACATCACTGCAATCTGTCACCTTTCCAAGCAGGAAAATCAGGTTGTTAGCACCTCCAGCCGTATATATATATATATATACACACACACACACACACATATATACATATATATGTACGTATATATGTATCTTTGATGATGAGTTATTTCATTAATACCTAATTAATGCAACTCCGTTTTTTATTATTGATTCCTACTTAATCCTTTTCAATGCCTATTAAGTCTCAAATGTATTTTCTTCTCTTTATTTAAAAATAATTTTCCAAGTTACAGTTTTCTCAGAGAGGAAGACTGCATAAGGCATGCTTGGTGCATAGACGTCTGAGACCGCTGTATCGTGTTGGTAGACCGATCCTTTATCACGATGTACTATTCTCTGTGTCTGTTAAGTTTTTTGTTGTTTAGTTTTTCCTTTGAAATCTACTTTTTCTAATATTAATACAGCCAATTCTGCTCTTTTGATTTGTGCAATAGCATACTTTTTCTATCCTTTTACTTTCAAGCTGCATGTATTATTATTTAGGAAGTGAGTTTCTTACAGACAGCATACACTTAGGCCATGTTTTTTT